ACCATGCATTTTATTCCACTGTGACGTCACTGGTGTTCCCATTTCTTGCGTTTTCTTCACTAAACACTAACATTTCCCCTCTTCCACCTCCTCTAATTCACCCTCCTCTCTTCCTTTCCACTTAATCCCTCAAATTATTCCTCCTCATGGTGTCGTTTTTTCCAGGATGCAGATATCTACAATTCCATTGCCTTCTGTCAATCTTTTACGCTTGAATTAACAGACCATCCTGTTTTTCCTGATCCCAACCACTTTGTTCCCCACATAGGAGATGCAGGATATAGGGGAGGATGGATGGACAGATAATGTGTGCAGAGGGGAAAATCCTCCAGGGGCAGAGAGCTTTCAAAGTTTGTTTTTGTTGCAGCCTCCCCAGATTGACGATTCAACTGGCAAATCCTTAAACACAACCCTCATTAGTGGATCAAAACAAAAATATTTCTAAAGTATCTTCATGCTGGGTTGAAACTATGAAAACATTTTGTTCCCCCTCAATTTTTTTAACCTTCTTGTTTTTCACTGCTTTGTATTTTTGTATTCTTTTCCTCTCTTTTGTGCGTTTTCACACCCGGCTCTTTTTCTGTTGCCTCCTATTTTTTGTCAATATATTTGCTTTGTTATTTATCCAGCCCTTATCTGAGCCTTTTGTGTGTTAGCTGTGCACACAGAAAATCCATCATTGCCATCTAGCAGTAATGCAGCTCTTACAGATTGAGCAGAAAAAACAGACCTAAACCAAGTGAGGGGCCACAGAGAGGAGAAGAAACAGATGAGAAAGAGGAACAAAACGGGTTTATATTTCTCGACTGTTAAAACAACCCTGCAGAAAATACTTATTTACCCTTTGGCAGGAAAGGCCGGTTCTCAGGACCCCTGGGTGGCACGGACACTGTAAATAATGTTGATGCACAATTGCTCTAAAATTAGAAATATCCCCATCCATGTTTTCTCTAAACCCCAAAGGCTACTGATTTTGGTCCAATATATGTATATAAACCTTTGAAAAAAATTAAGAGACCACAGAAGCATTATCAGTTTCTCTGGTTTTACAATTTGTAGGTATGTGTTTGAGTACATTTAATTTGATTCTATAAGCCTACTGACAACATTTCTCTGTGTTGGAATTCATTGGGGAAGGAATGGCTGCTATATCATTTGATTTCTCGCAACACCACTACAGCAGCACAATTTATAATTTAAATGTTCAACCATCTTTAGTCGCTGATTGGCTCTGAAATTAAGAAAATCTATGGCTTGAAGAAAAGTTTATCTTTGATATTTTCCCAAGTTGTCTGGGATCATATTTTATAACGTATGAGGAGAGAGGGGAGTCCGTGTGGAATGTGGCAGAAAAGTTCAACAGGATTGTAAACACTCTCTTCATAAGCAGAATACATTGCATTTGAAAGGCAGGTTTCAACAAAGAGCAGCTCTTCAGTTCACTGAAAAGATTAGTCCACAATAGTCTGTGTTGAAGAAACAGTCTGATTGTTTTTTTAAAGGAGAGCCTGTTTGACAGATGGCCTGCCCTGAGCAAATACACAAAGGATCAGAAATAGGCTGGGTTTATAAAGCAAATATTCATTAATCTATTTAAAATGCCTGGATCCGGGCAGATCCTTTTGATTGGCTCACACCATGAAATTCCACATGCACACATGTAGCCTCAATACATAGATGCACCCAAATATGCAATCTGCCAAAGATGTGAATTGTGTTCATAGAGCAGAGAAGTGTCATTTCTTTTCTTGTATCAAATCCAAGTGATCCAAATGTATCCGCGCAGGACAGTGGATCCGATCTGTCTTCACAAGCTTCCATTAACATTCAACTTGGCAGTGAGAGTCGCAGGTCTGCCATTCAGCTTATTCGTCTTTGTCTTCTCCAGCTATCAAAATGACAAAGCACAGGGAGATAATAGCTGTACGCCTCTATGAAAAGTGGTTATGGCTATCATACTGTGACCATATGCAGAGCTTAATATGATTAATTAATTCACCACACTTACCGCTTAATGCTCTGATTACGTCATGCATGACCTGTCTTTTGAAATGAATATCAAGTAACCAAGACACGTTTCCATAATGTCTGCGCTTTCCAACAGTGCAGTTGTTTACAGAGCACTTGTAGATTGCACCTTGTGCGCTTTTGTAACTCTTGTAGACAACACATTTGATCCTAACAACAGCATTGCTCCAAGCCAAAGTGCCTCATGAATAAAAGTGTCATTATTTGTTCAATCTCTCAGCTGTAGCTTCGTCTTAAAATGGAGTTTATTAGTATCATGCAAAACCTTTGATTAGCTCGTGAAAAAAGGCTTTATACAACTCCCGAAGAACAGGGTTTGATGTGTGTCAGTGGAGTTCCTCTATTCCCTGCAACTACAATACAACTACTATATTCAGTACAGTGAGTTCACTGTAGTTACAAAAAACAAACATGTTTCTCACGTATCTCTACTGGTATTTAGCTATTCAAATAGTTTCAATTTTATGTCTATGTGTAAAATATTAATCTCTTGAGATTCCATATCCACAATATAATGGATATGACAGGAATTTTGTATAAAACACTCTCTGCAGTGAGAAGTGTCTTCAACAGCAATTGTCACAGCACACAGTGAACAGCTTTCATGATTGCTTGAATTATTTTCAATGGTGCGGACACAACAATCAAAATTCCTTTGACTTTTATTGATTGTGCTGGAGGCAGAGAAAGAGGAAAGGTAGATAGTTAAAACTTCAAATAAAACTGAAACTATGTAAGATTTATTTGTATACATGTGTAGATAGTTTCTCAGATAACATACCTGTTCCACATAGCTTTGCATAAGAGCATTAAACCCCATGCCCATACTAAAGCTGGAATGTGTACTTTTAATAGTGACAAGTTCGCATAGGGGATTCATGCTTGTATCTTCTCATGGAAAATAGCTCAAAGAATATGCCAGTAATTGGGCCTTTGATAGAAATAAAACTGCACTTTATTGGCAGAGTAATCTCTCGCAGTAAATGTTCCTGGTTATTATGGAATCACACAAGGTGAATCCCAAATTCTTCTTCTGTCTCTGTTATTCTGACAGTTAATGATTCCTTCAGATGTTCGCTAACTTCTCTGTGCCAACTTTATCAGACCAGTTGTTGTTCTGTGCTCTGTGCACGATTTAACCTAAGACATAGTCTAATTCAGGCTGTCCAAAAGGATGACAATAAAACCTTTTGATCCCTTTGATTGAACATTCAGTTAAGTCTCTCCTTATTGGAGGTTTATGGCAGTTAGTGGTCTCTGACTGACTGGGAGATAAGGCCAGACACTTTGAACAGAAAAGTGAACTTGATTGAGTGACTGTTTCTGGGACTGGTTCAGAGTTTTTCACAACTGCCTCCATAATTCTCTCTTCCCTGAGGAGTAAGGCCCCTGATTGAACATGTGGCAGATTCACATAACCTACATGCAAGATTTTTACAATTGTCAACACTTCAGTTTGAATAAAGATGTCTCTGAAGTGAGTCATTCAAAGGTATTTGCAAAAGAGCGGTCCTCTCTGAGGAAAACAGCTGTCATCTTTATTGCTGGCACAATATTAGAAGCTGGACATAAGCCTTAACATGTGGGAGAATGCCCAGACAGACATCTCTGAGGAAAAGTTACTCATAGATTGAGATATTTTAAGGTCTCTCTCCTTTTTCAAACTTTAGTGCTGCTCTGTGACAGATAATGATGGGCTAGAGATGCTCTACCTAAAAGATGATAAGATCGTAATGTAGGCTGATGTGTCCCCAGATAAAATACTTCATACAGAAACTCTACAAGGTTATTCTCATAACTTTACAACTATTCATTATCTCTTTGTCACACATTCAACTGAATTTCCTAGTCTAAATAATGCCTTTTCTTGCTCATATGTTCGTTTTAAACGTGGGTTTGTTTTGCTGCATGAATGCTTTGTGACAAAACGTCCTGTAAGGCCAGCGGAGCCCGGATAATCATATTAGAGTGATTCTCAGGGAGTTTACGGCCCCGCCTCCTCAGCGGCAGGATGGAGTGGTTCCACTGAGGGAGACCTGATGTGAACTTGGCGGCCCTGCCAGAAGAAGACCACCAGGTTTTCTGACTTCATGGGAGTATCCAGCCTCTGCTGGCTAAGGATCGATGGCTTTGGGCTAGACACACAGAGAGTGCCCCATGGGTATAGCATGCTTTTTGAGTGAGAGCGGCTGCCACTGAATGACAATGAATTCATATTTCAATGAACTAGGGATAAGTAAGAGGAAGCTGCAATTACCTTGTCAACATACATTTGTGTCCAACACTGACATATGACTGTATAGATTTAGTTTGTGCATAAAATGGTCTCTGAATTCACTCGTTGAGTTCACCTGTGTCCTTCACGCTAAATGCGTTTTCTTGACATCACGTCTCTGTGTGAGTGTGACAGCTTTGACACTAAACCTTAAAGAAAGCATTTTTATATCTTTGCTCTAACCTTCACTGCTCTGTGTGTGCAGTGCACAAAGGGCGTGACCCGCAGCTGGCCGAGCTGACTCAGCCAATCGGCATTCCATGCAAGGTGGAAGTGTGCCGGCCCTTGTCCACCATCAACAAAGAAGATGAAGGGCAAATTAGCGCAAAACAGGGGAGAGCTTTGAATAAAAACATGAGCAGAGTGTATCAATGATCCACATCGGCCACACATCATTACAATGAGAGGCGGTGCTTTACTGACATCCACATACAAACATTAACTTCAAAACAAGCTTGCACACATCACGTTCACATGCAGATCCTTTCCACCTCCCTCTGTCTTTCTCACACACACTCTCTCTCTCTCTCTCATACACTTCATAGGTATGTATAGCACTCCCTCCACTCCTGGCTCCACGCTCCACCCTCAGTCCTAAAGGACAGGCTGGTTGACCCAGGAGGAGGGGATAGAGGGGGAGGGAGGGGGAGGTATGGAGCAGACGGAGCTCAGATTCATTTCTGCTGGTGCTGCTTGAGGCACAGCACATTGCGAGAGCAGAACGTGACGCACACAGAGCCGGGACACGCACGGCTATCAAATGGATTCATTTTGACGTATACTTGTGAACTCTAAGAGAGAAAGGACAATCGAGCCAGAAGGACTTGCACCGAGCTTGTAAAACTTGTTTGTCACACTGGCAGAAAATAAAAAAGCTACCTGGCTTTGATGAAGAAACATTCATTCAGGAGCCAGCTGATATCCCGCTGAGCGGAGGGACTTGGACTGACAGCACTGAGGATGTGAATGTATCGGGGACAATCTGGACCCCTTTCTGTCACACAGCAGCACCACTCAAGTGGATCATAAGTAAGTGCTTTAAGTGTACTCTATGTTAATTGCTTGATTGAATATTAAAGTGATTTTCATTCTGTTTTTAGTAAAAATACTTCTCGTAAAAATCCTCCAATAATTCTCCTCTAGTCCCTGAAAACACGTCACAGGGTGTGTAGGAACTTAAACTTGATCACTATGTGAGCAAATAGATTTGTTTACTGATTAATGTAGGTCATCCACAGTATCTGATGTCCCACTGAGTATGACACTCAAGTATTTCACAAATGATTTATCTTCTGATTACTATAACATGTATACTTTAACATAACAATAGTAGGGTTTTTATTTACTTAACGAAAAATGAAGGAATCTTCTTAAGAAACAATGCCATCACGATACACCTGTTTCGGACACTATATATATCTTACCTATTTTAAACATTGTAAAGACAATTGAAATCATGTTTTGGGAACATGTAGTTAGTTTAGATGTTAGGGGAATGGGTTAGTGTTAGGTGTTTTTTTGTATATATTTTTTTATGTAATATATATTCACATAAATATGTTTGTTAACTGTTTTTGAATTAATTAATTAAATAAGGTAGAAAATGTCAAAAAGCTAGTTCCTTGCATAAGCTTGATGTATGATTTTAACATACACATTTTCTGAGTGAAGTCACCTGTTTATTTTATATGATTGAATATCACATTAGGTTGATTTGAAAAAAAACATTGGCACTTTATACATTAGAGCTTTAGGTGAAATAATGATATGCCCAGTATGTATGAATCATGCCTGACAGCCCTCATTTCAACATATGTAATATATGTTAACATATACAGCACAGGCTGGTGTACTTGTTTGGAAGTATTTTTTGGCACAGCCTAATTGAAAATGCATGTGGTCCTCCAAGTTTTTCCACGGATAAAAAAAGGTCAAGGGAGCCTCCAGGTTGTTCATGTGATTGACTCTCTCATGTAATGTTAATGGACTGTAATAGTGAAGGCGCTTAATGCTTTGTCCCGCAGTCATCGAGACCAGAGCCAAACGCACACAGAGAAAAAGGAACCGCGTGAGAAAGCCTACCATGCACTGACAACAAGGTGAGAGGCCATGGAGGCATATACTGTATATTCACCTTAGGGTGATTTATCTGTTATGTGTGTCCGTTTCTTTATGTATTTGTGTGTCCTGCTCGTATTTTAAAATCTAAAAAGGTCTTTAGATGAGTTAAAGAAGATGTGTGGTCAGTGTACGCTGTGTGTTTATGGTACACACAAGTCTTCACCCTTAGTTAAAGTTAATTTATTGCCTGACTTGATATGTGAACAGAACATCTCATTAATGAGGAGATGGAAATGTCTCGCTTTATGCTTTTGATTATCAGTGAAAGCCTCTAATGCAGTAGTTTGTCTTGTCAGTTTCCACTTGTGTAATAGCTATAAAAACAACTTTAAGAATCTTACCAACATGTCAGTAAAATACACAGATCACTGTTTGGCAGAAAATATTTTTGTGATTTACAGCAGGAAGTAATTTTGTATCAATCAAAGTGCCCGAGAAGAATGTTTCCAATAATCATACACTTTCCATGTTTTTTTAAATTTGGCACAATCTGCTATTCGAACAAAATTACTTCCTTGATTATAGTCCTATATCAGGAAAAAGCATCACCATCATCATAATTTCTACTATTTTCATGGTCAATTTAGTCTGGTCTCTGACAGGGAATAATTTCATTGTGCGGCACGGATCTAACCATTATAAGCCTCAAACGTCCAGGCCTGTTTTAGCGGATGTGGTATCACTGCGGCCCAGTTTCCATTCTTCAGGGGGAATACTCAGAATTGTATATCATTTTGGCTTATTTATTGTTTAGGTGCTGGTAGCCAGTGCGCTGGTTAATGATATATAACTAGAACAACACTCAGTGGTCGTTTTAACAGGCTTTCAGTGCAGATAAGGGGACTTGGACCTTCTTTAACAGCACAGAGTTTGACCACTAGCCTGTGTATTGTGGAAATAAACTGCCCATGTTTGTGAAAACACAAAAAGATGAAATGTGGGTGGTAATGGCTGTATCGGTGTGTGCAATGAGGCGTGGCCCCACATGATTAACTTTTAATGGGTTGTTTGGGCAAGATAGTAAAATAACAGTGTTTACTTGTATTGCTCAAAGGGGCTGCAGTCTGAAGTCAGGGCGCTTGAACCTGGGTGACACTCACTGAGAATGAAATCATGGATACAGAGCTGTGAATTAATGAGTACAGCAGGTGGCTCAACAAATGTAAATGATTAAATATATACAGAGAATCAACTTGTTATAGAAACACCTATTCAGATGTCACGTGAGAGCACCAATGGGGATCCCATTTAGAGATGTGTGGAAAAGAAAAAAGCGTGGCCATATCTCCTTTATAAATGCTGCACTGCCCAGCGTGTGGCAACACACATGACTCATTCAGACCTATATTGTGTAAGAATCTATTGATCAGTATGTAAATAAAAGTCTCAGGCCACACTGACACAAGCTGCAAAGAATACTAAAGGTTAAGTATAGGGGTGTGATCTAAAGCTTCATTGATACAAGTACTTTCAGTTGGCTTGGATCAGTGGTTCTCAAACTTTTTCTGCCATTCCCCACTTTGAACAGGTGCGCCTTTTCAAGCCCCACCTGTCGAGCTACTTTTACTCCTCTTTTATTTTTTTTGCAGTGTATATATTTAGCACATTTTAACATTATTATATGCTTACCTTTAACCTTTGTGTGCTGTTTGGGTCTGTGGGGCCCGTTTTCAGTGTTTACTAAAATAAATAGTATTCAATTTAATTATTTTAACCTGCTT